TTCCTGCATTATTTTCTTGAATTCTTCCATTTTTTTGTCTGTGTTTTGCATGAATTTGTGTGCCTTTTCCATGAATTTGTCTATTTTTTCCTCGTTTTTGTCTGCTTTTTGCATAAACTCTTGGATAATTCTGAGTATTAGAGATTTGAATTCCCTATCAGGTAGTTCTAGTGCCTTTTCCTCTACTGGAAAGTCATCTGATGTTTTATTTTGGACGCCTACTGGAACCATCCTGTCATGTTTTTGTAAATGTTTTGATATTGTCTGCTGTCTTTGGGGCGTTCTGTAGTTATCGTTCTCATTTATTGATTGTAGATTTGTTTGTTTCGTCCTTTTTTGTTTGTTTTATTTGGCTATGTCTGAGCAGGCTGTGTCTTCTTTGTTGTTTGTTCGTCGTGGGCATGATACTTTTCACCTACTTCTGCAATTGGCAGGGTCAGTTGCTCAGATATGGTACAGCAGGGCCGGTCTAGCTGAAGAGGAGTTGCTTGGATGCGTTGTTTGTGGCACTTACGATGGCCACCTGGGCGGGCTGGTAATCAGTGCAGGGCAGGTTCCGGTAGACCATGCCTGGGCTGCTTGGTGATGTGATGTTAAGTGCACAGTGCAGGTAGGCAGGATGGAGGGGGGAGATTGTGATGTGTGGAGCTAGATGGGTATGGTAGAGAGGAGAGAGAAACAGGAGCCAAAAACATACAAACAAACAGAAAAGAGTGCTAGGGAGCTTGCTGTTGGAGTGGAGAGATGAGAGACTATGAAGTGGAGAAAAACAAAAAGGAGAAGAAGAAGAAAAAAAGAAAAGAAATGAAATGAATAAATAAAAATTAGAATGAAAAAAGGAAAGAAAAGTTCCTAGGGATCCCACTGATGTGGCTACAAGGTCTGGGGAAGTTGCTCCCAGGCCGTGAAGTACAGCCTGGCTAGAAGGCATAGAGGTGTCACTCAGCGCCAGGTATTCAGGGGACAGGAAGAGAAGGAAGGTATAGAGAGACAAGACACTGTGAAGAAAGACAAAAAGGGAGAAAGAGGGAAAAGAAAACAAAACAAATTTTTTAAAAAAAAACAAGAAACCCCCCCAAAAAAAATAGGAAAAAAAAAAAAAAAAAAGAAACAAGGATAAAGAAATGCTCACAGGGATCCCTCTGCGTGTCTGTGCAAACTGAGGGGGTAGGTCCCAAGCCACACAGTACTGCCTGGCAAGAAGGGGCTCCCAATTTGAGAAAAGAAAAAGAAAACAAACAAACAATTCAAAACAAACAAACAAAAAAGCCCTGGGATCCCACCAGCTTGGCAGCATGGGCCGGGAAGCAGTCTCAGATTTGAGCAGCGTTTCACAGCATTTCAAGAAGAAGCAAAGATGCCCCTGCCCCCTTCTAATCTCTTTAACTCAACAGGGACAGCTCTGGGGCTGGGCGGCATCTGTGGGTCTGTCATGCACAGTGTAGGTCAGGTCGTATGTTCTGAGGTTACCTTGGTTATCTGAGCCCTTTACAGAAATTATCCTCCACACACCATGCGGCTTGGTACTCACACAGAGGAAAAGTTCTCTGCCTGCAGCCAGGCTGTGACCTCCTCAGGCTTTGAGCTGAGTCGGAGCATTGGAGCCTAGAGTCAGGGGGAAATGGGGATCAGAGGCCATCTAATCTCACAGGCACCCATATCACCATCACCAAGGTCCCTTCTCTGAACTCCCATGAAATCTTCTCTCATTGCATGGTTTGCTTGTCTGATAGGGGCCCTGTCTTGTTCTCTGCTCTGGTCCCAGAGCCCAGCATGATAAAGCTTAGCACACTAGGCATGCAGTAATATTGATTAAACCAAACCAGGAGTCTCTCCTCCTCTTGTGACCGAAGCCCACCCCCCACCTCTGACTCAAGATTTATAGTTTCCCTGGGTAATCTGGGCTGGGTAGTACCCGAGGGGGTGACTGGCCCTGACTTCCAGGTGCCCCCGACTGTAGGGGCTCCAGGATGTTGCTGGGAATGTAGCCACTCTGTCCCATCTCGTTCTTCACCAGCCACCACCGCTTGCTCTGGTCCAGAACCTGCCAAGAATCACTTCCTTAGTCACCCCTGGGTCTCTGTCCAGCGAGGTCACCCCCTCCCCAGCAAGCCTTTTCCCTCCAGGCCCTTTCCCCCTTTCCTTCTCCTGCTCTAGGCTACCCACCCCAGGAGCCCCATACCTGGGCCACCCACTCAGGCTGCCTGTAGCTCCCACTAACTACCACTTCCTTTCCCAGCCTCCAGTCTGTTGCTCACCTCCAGCATATCTCCTGGGACCACAGTCAGTTCCTGTGGGTTTCTAGCTTCAAACTCATATAGGACTTGCATTTTCAGGGCTTGCTTGGCAGGTCTGGGGCCGGAGGGCAGGATGTTGGGGTCCCCAGGCTGAGGGTCATGGTTGTATGTCTTGTCTTGTGCAAAGTGTGGAACACTACCTAACCTAGGACACCCCTCACCCCCAGAGACAGAGTTAGAATGGCTGGAGAGTGGAACCTCAGAAATTAAGTCCCTATCCCAGCCCAGAGAGCCTCAGCTATCTCCTGCTGGAGTCTGGATGTGACTTTTGGGCTTCCACAGAGTTTAATGTGGAAGTGGTAGGTGGGACTTGGAGTGGGAATTTCTGCAGGTAGGACGGGTCTGAAATGTTGCTGATTTGTGAACACTCTTCAAGCAGAATTTTCTACATCTGAGCTCTGCTCTGATCACTGCTGAGCACTTTATACCTGATCTCTGGGAAGTCAGAGGTGTATGTGGGTAGTGTCAAAAGGAAGGGATTGGAGCCTATGAAGGTAAAAAATCCCTGCTTTTTGCACCCAGTGGAGGGGAGGGGTATGTTTGTACATGTACGTGTCTGGCTAAAAGAGAGCCCCGAAGGTCTCTGAGATGTAGAGATCCAGAGATCCAAAAGATCAGCCCCGTCCCTCCCTCCCTAGGACCATGTGGTCCCTACTAAGCCCAGGGCATACCGGAGGGAGTCCTGGTATTCTAGGGGTGCCTGTAAGGGGTAGAACAGAGAGTAAGCAAGAGCAGGAGTCAGCCAGCATGGTGGTTGGGAGCTAGGGTATTGAACCACAGACCTACTCACACGCAGCTGCCTTATATACCCTTCCCTGCCTCCCCACTATACAGATATGGGTACCCACATGAACCTACCCAACCACTTAGTTGTCATACAACCATAGTTCGGACTGGGAGGGCAGAAACTAGCTGAAGTCCGGGGCTTTGGGTAGGGCTCTGTGTTAAGCTCCCCTTACCTGGTTAGAGAAGGTCTCTGGAGGCTGCCAGCCATCATAGAATGTGGGTATGTAGGGCAGGGGCTTTGGGCCTGTCCATTCTGCCCTGTGGGGAAAACAAAGCTGAGCTCATGTCCACTCTGTGCCAGGCTGTGGGATATGGAAATGGAGGAGATGACAAGGCCTAGCCTCAGGGATCTGCTGTCTAATGGGAGGCATGGCCCACGTGCACAGGTGAAAGGCCCCAGAACACCCACAAAGGAGACAGTTAAGCATGAACAAATCCCATGGCAGAGAGATGTATCAACTTCATAAGGATCCACGGCAGAGAGATGTATCAACTTCATAAGGATACGCTGCACACTTAATCACACTGATTGAGGGTTTAGATTAAAGTGGTAGAACCCCAGAGTGTTAGGGCTGGATGACCCTTTGGGAATCATCTCATTCAGTGTTTTTTGTAACTTTTTTTCAGTTTCCCAGCCACAGAACCTTTTGTTCTAACTAAATAGTTTGTGGAACTCTAATTTGTGAGACTGATCAAAGCAGAGCTGCTCTGGTTTGAGTTCTTTGTGGCCTCCAGGCTTGCTCTACTTGGAATATTCTCAGGCTTGCCTGCTGGGGAAATGCCTATTCCCCTCCTTGAAGAAGTACCCTTCCCTGACTCACTAGGGCAGAGGTGAATATTTCTTCTTTTGTTCTGCTGCTGAACTTGGTACTCGCTTGGATTATTGCTCCCTTACTCTATATTGCACATGAGCCTTACTTGTCTGTTTCTCACTATATTGAACTCCTTGAGGGCCGTATCCCTAGTGCAGTGGCTGGCACACAGGGGACGCTGATAAATGTTTGTTCAATGGGAACAAATGAATTATTCCCTCTTCTGCATCTTTTTAATTGGTTATTTCTATTTGGCCTACAAACATGCTCAGGTCTTCTCTTGACCCTGTCACTACTGCTTTTAGCTGCCATCCTATTATTACCTCCTTTTAACCCGTTTTTCTGAGAATGTGTCTGTGTTCCTGCTTACATCTCACATGCTTCTTTCACGGTTCCTTGCAACCTAACTTATACCTCTGTCATTACTCTGCTGAAGCTAGTTTGTCTAAAGTCCTGATGTTCTCCCGATTGCCAAATCCAGTGGCCTTATATGTATGGTCTTCATCCTTCTGGGTGACCACAGCATTTAGTGCTATTTTAACTTTGGGTCAATCTGCCTAAAATCAAGATATCTAAATGTAATTTACCTAATATGCAACTCTTTTAAGGGTTTTTAACATATCTTTAGTTATTCCATCTTTTGCATTTGTGTCTTTCATTTCATTCATTCACTTCTTGTTATTTTAGGAAATTAGAAAACATCTTTCTAAGGGCATATCTGATTTAATTTTATATTTAAAATAAGAATTTATCAAATGTATATCATTTTATGAATGACGGAGTTGTTTCGTATCTTTGTGGAGTATCTTTTAAAAATTGTATCTGCTGAGCTATTTTTGTAAAGTCTTAAATTCTTGAAGTAAGGCTGGATTTTGAGACACAGAAAGATATATCCAACATGTTAGTCAATGTTTAAGTGACTGAATGATGGTATTTGAGTGTCTGCCATAGACCCTCTTGTTTGGGTCCATTGCAGAACCTCTGTTTTCTTTTCCTACTAGCACTGGACAGATGCCAGGACTAGCCCCACAGACTCGGTGAGGCCAGCGCAGTTGTGATGGTTGGTGTGCCCCAAGGTGGGCTTATAGTTACTGTTTGTCCCCAGTGTTCTGGACAACTGAACACTTATGAGATAGGAGCTCCAAAATCCATAACTGATTTCCTTTTAATGATTGAACCCAGAGAGCTCATAAAAATGAATTGTATTAAATTATTTCATGTCTTTAGATGGACTGGATGAAAAAAAATCATGTAAAGGGGGCTGAATTGGAAAGAATTGATCGTTAAGCAAAAGACTCGTTAGACAAACTGGCTTATTTCCGTGTTGGCTTGTCTGTCTTTCTAAAACCTTCTTCTCTCTTGGCTTTCATGCCTCTGCTCTTTTGGTTCTTCTTTTAACTCTCCGGAATTTCTCTTTGCCTCCTTAACTCTTTCTGTTTTAACCACCTGCATGAAGATGTTTCCCAAGGCCCTGCCTTCTTCTCTCATGGAATAGAGCAAAGTGTGCTTGCTGAATTGAATTCTGGAGCTTTCCTCGGGAACCCTTACCTCTAGCCGTGGCTCCAGCTATCATTTCTATAAGGACTATCCTCAAATTCACTTTGCCACATCAGACCTCGAATGAGGGCCGGGCCACCTGTCTCTGTGGGGTTCTACTGGCACCTCGGTTCAGCATATCCAAGCTGGTTTTGTCCCCCACTCCCCATTGCTCTCATCAGTTTGGCCTCCTTGTCCAACTGCCCATCTCACAGTTGCACAGGCTTGGAATATCTCTTTCTCTCTTTACTCCCTAGCCAACTGGTTACCAAGTCTTGTTGATGTTACATTTGCAGTATCTCTCACTTCACTAATTCTTAAATTCTGGGCTGGATCGAGACAAAGTTTTCAATTTGTCCTTGAAAAAATGAGAAAATATTTTAGAAGAAGACTGCCAACTCTCCTTTCTCGGAAGGGACTGTTTTTTTCCCTGAGATAATGCCTTCTCTTTGGTGGTGAAAGTAGGTGATTGTCTTTTTTTTAACTCTTCACACTTAGCAGAATGAAAATTCAGCAACCCCATGTAGAGTACCCCAATTTGTTTGAAAAATTTCTGGTCTGTGACTGTGTAGAGCCTTGTCACCTCTGATTGCTGCCCTTTGACCCCATGTCCCTCACCCGCAATTCAGTTCAGACCTAGTCTTCACTCACCAATTGGTGGTCCAGGCCACGCCTAGCGCCTTCCAGAGGTTACTCTCAGTTGGGGTCAGAAAGGACTGCAGCAGGTCGATGGCTTTGGGGGTAAGGAGTGGTGAGTTCACTTGGGCTGCTAGGCCAGACTCAGGGCAGTGGGCTATGATCTGGGGGAGAAATGGAAGGTATGAGGAAGCCTAGGCTCCCACAAGACCAGACAGAGGTGGTAAAGGGCCCAGAGTACCTGGCTTCCCATGTTGGAAATGCCAAGCTACCTCCTGCAAGTGACCCCTTCTGCCTCAGGCCTGTTGCCACTTCCAATCTCCCTTGGAGTCTTGGTGTCCTTGGCTCTGACCCTAGACTATCTAGTCTACTGGGGCGTTCTGTACACACCAGGGATGATGTCTTGGGGGCAAGGAGAAGGGTGTGTTGGGGTAAGCAAGGGCTCCGTCTGCCCCTGCCCTACCCCGCTCTCACCCCACTCCCCTTTCTCCCTCTGTTTCTTCTTGACTTCATCCTGTCCTTCCCTTCCCTTCCTCCACCACCCTGTCCTTCCCCAACTCACAAAGTCCAGAGTTTGGAAGATGAGGTGCACGAGCTCAGGGGCACTCGGCTCCTGCAACCTGCTGCTCAGCTTCCCCTGGGGACACAGGGCAATGTTTGTCAACACCCTCCCCACCCTACCTTCCTCAGTGCCCCAGTAATTGTTTTGGGCTTTGTTTGGGAGCTTGGCACTCCCCAAAAGTCCCAAGAGTGGAGAGGGGAGGTTCCAGGGGAAGAAGCTGGAGAAGGAAAAGGCTTGAGATGGCCTATGAGACTAGGGGAGCAGAAAGGGGAGAAAGGAGAAGGCGGTGGGGTAAGGAGCTTGTGGGGAGCCATATACCAGGAGGTTGAGGCTGTACTTGATCTTCTGGAAGCAGTCGATGTACTGTTCCTTTGTTATCCCTGTGGGAGAGGGCTGTGGGTCATAGGCTATCCCAAGACTCCTCCCCTTCTCCCCACTCTTCTCCCCTCGCCCAAGCACTCACCTCCCTGATTCTTGTTCTTTTTCTTCCACAGTCTCTTCTTCTTACTGCTGGTCTTTTCCTGGGCCTCATTTAGCTTTCCCACAAACCACTCAATGTCTTCTAGGATGTGGTTCAACACCTCCTGGACCCCAAAACAGCTCATGGCCTTGAGTGAAGCGAGGCACCGTCCTGGAACTCCTGACCCTGCTCCCCACCCCACCCCACCACAAGCCCTATCTTCAGGCTCAGCCTGGGGCCAAACCAAGCTTCCTTGGTTCTTCTTGGCCCAGAGCCTGCCCTGGCCATCCTGGCTCCCAGGCCCAGAAAGCCTCAGCAAGCCCCAGACAATCTGAGTTACCTCATCCTCATTTGGGTCCCTGAGGGATAGGGACCGCCTTGGAGGAGGTAGAGTGAAGTTACTTGGTTCTCGGGCACTGGGATGGCGAGACAGGGGCCTTGGGGATGGTGGCATTCCTGGAATGTAAGGGGACCGTGGATTCAGAACCTCCTTGGTCTTTGATTTAAACCTTCTCCTCCTACCTGCCCCCCAAAAAACTTACTGTGCTCTGGTGTCATCCTTTGAGGCTGCTCTGGAAGGAACCCCTGGTCCAGAGGGGGCCCCCGCCATCTGCCCTGGCCTGGGCGAAGGGCTCCAAATTGGGGTCTGCTGAGAACGTGGTAGGGACACATCTTTGACAAGGTTCTTGGGACAGAGATCCCACCCACACTTCTGCCCAGGACCCGGGAGCACCCCCACCTCTCTCTAGGACCCCCCACCATTTCCTGGTCTCCATCTGAACCCTTCCGTGACACCATCTGCACACCCACCACCCAGTGTACCACCCACCTAATAGTGCTATCCTATTAGGCCGAGATACCCTCTGGGCCCTTTCTGGCCCCATGGCAGTCTCCAGGGTCAGTCTCTAGTGCCCCTTGGGCCCAGCCCTAGCCCCTTCCCCATGCCCATCTACGCTCTGGCCCCAGCCTGGCTGCTCCCCAGTTCCAGGTCCATGTTGGTTGTGTCACAGGCTCCTAGGATCCCTAAGATGCGGGGCCAGGGTCTGGCCAACCAGGCCTGAGCTGTGAAGTTCTATAGGTGGGAATGGGGAAGAGGCTGCCTACCTTTGCTCTAGTTCTTCCTCCAGAGCCTTCTGCAGGCTTGCCCTCAGTTGCTCTGCCTGGGGGAAGCAGCAGTCAGGCAGGCTGAGGGTATGTGTATATGTGTAGGGGGGTGTTCTCTGGACCCTACACCCACTGTCTCTCCCACCCCACCCCTGGCTGCTTACGTTCACTTCCTGGCACTGAAAGAGCAGAGTGCTGGAGGTTGGCAGTCCTGACTCCTTCACTGTGATGGACAGAATGGAGTTGTAGGAGCAAGTGTTGAGCGCCACATCCATGGCCTGGATGCTGTCCAGGCGATAAGTGTCCAGCTCCTCCTGGGCCAGGCGGGGAGGTTGGCAATGAGGTCACTGAAAGCCAGGCTTGGCTCCTGGAGCTCCTGACTTGGGGTACCCCAGCCCGCTTGGTGGCCTGGGACTGGGGTATCATCTACCCTGACCTCTGTGCCTCTGCCCCAGTCTCCACCTAAGCCTGGGTATGTATGTGTATATGGAGGGGTGTGGCTGCTATTTGGAGTATGCGGAGTAGAGTTCAAGTGCCTGGAGCTTGCTTTTGCACTGCCCGGGTTGGCTGTGACCCATTGCTGAGTTTGTTGGGTGGGCTGACCTTGGTCTCGATGTCCAGCAGCTGGAGCCAGCCATTTCTGACCTGCAGGAGCAAGTCCTGGCTCCACACACGGCCCTGCGCATCCATCTCTTGCAGCTTCTGCAGGGCATCCTTGGGCTCCTGGACTCTCTGAGTACCTAGCTTACACGTCATCAGGTGCTGAGGGGAGAGAATGAGGCCCAGGACCGGGAGAAGACTTAGAAAGGGGAGACTAGGGGTGGGGGTGGGGGTGGGGAGAGGCAGCAGAGGAGGGAGACCTGCCGTGGCCTCCTTGTGGGGTGATCTAGATAAGCAATCTTCAAGGGCTTATGTCAGGGCCAGTGTAGAAGTGGGCAGGCTAGGTCTGTGGGGCTGTGCGGGGGCTTTTAGGACCCTGGAGGAAGGAAGGACAATCATGGCCCAGAACAGTCCAGGCCAGTGAGGGGGTTGGGTGGTAGAGGATGTGGACTCCAATCACTCAACAAATAAAGTCTAAACTCCTCTGAGTGAGATGTAGGGCCCTCAAAATTCTGTCTCCCTGTGCTCCCTTTGGGCACCCACCATCTCAGCCTGGTCTTCCTCTTCACTAACCTGAATTTAGCATTCCTGTCCCTGTGCCTTTGCTCATGCTGTTCCCCATCCCTAGAATGCCTTTCCCACTTGTGCTAGTCCCTCACCTCCGGTGTCTTAGGAACAAGATCAAGCCCCATCTTCTCTACTCAAGTCCCTGTGAAGCTGCCCATTCCTGTGGGTCTTTGCCATTATTCACCTCCCCTAGGAGATCCCTCCCTTCTCACATCCAAATGCTGATGTCACAAGCAGCAGTCCGGCCCCTTGCCCTCCAGTGTAGTCTCTTGTTGGGGGATATGCAGTCTGTCTCCTGCCCCTGGGTCCCACCAGCCCTGCTCTCTGCACACCTCCTAGATCCTTTGCCTGCTGTTCACGTTTCCAGCATGTTCAGGGAAGCTTGACATCATGAACAAACTCCCTGTCAGCCTGAACATGTCTCCTCTCTGCCCTTGCCTGCTGGGCCTAAATTAAGCTGCCCCCCACCCCACCCCAACCCCCTACCCCTGCCATGAAGCTGAGTACTCCTGGCCTCTCCCTAGCTGACAAAGGAGACCTACCCCTGCTGCCTGTGGAAACTCCAGGCCACCACCCAGCGTCCTTCCCTGGTTCTGCTCCATTAGAGCCCTAACATCTGATGCTGCCCAGAATGGTTTCTATCTGGTGCGGCAGCCTGACCAGGTGTGTGCTCTACCCCAGCCACACCCTTGTAGTCTGTGCTTTCCCATGGTGTTGACAGCCCTTCAGGCAACCAGATCTCCCAGTGTCTCACTCCCTGAGGGCCAGAGACTCATTCCAGCCTCCAAGTGGCTGACAGTTGTCTGGGAGCTCGGAGCTAGCCACCTGCCCTCTCTGGCAGTGCCTCCTTTGGGGCCCTCTCTATCCTTCACAGGGACTGCTGACCTCACACATTCCTTTCTCCAGCCACGCCAGATCCTAGCCAAAGAGTAGTTCTCTGAGCTGGGGACTAGAGTTGCAGGGGGTGGGTAGGGAGGTGGGTGGGGTGGGGTGAGGGGGTAGGGTAGAGTAGCTCAGAGGAAGGTACCACAGCTGATGCCTCTAGGCACATATCTCTGCGACTTCTTCCTGCCTGGAGATAGGATGTCCACCTCTCTCTAACTTCAACCCCCCCTGCTCTTCCTGTCCCCAACTGTGCCCATTCCCTTCCCTGGCAGGTAGCAGATGCTCCATTAGACTTGTTGTTCTGGGGCAGGCTATTGGCTTCCATGGCAGGGACTTGTCTTAGAGGTCTATTTTTTGGCAGGACGATGGGCACATGGGACAACTTAGGTTGAGTCAGGAAACCATCTGGGACCCCTCGGGGTACTCACCTCCACCCTGTGCTGCAGGAAGCTGGGCTCTGAGGTGAGGCTCTGCAAGTACTCCTTCCGGTGCACTGTGGGGATTGGTGTGGGGGGGTGAGGGATGGAGGTTGTGGGGGCAAAGCAAGGGTGTGGGGTGGAGGGAAAAAGAGTGAGAAGTGAGCAACCGAGCCAGTGAGAAGGAGTCGTTGCGGGGAGGGAGAGACTGGAGGACAAGGGCTTCAGGGAGACAGGAGGGGAGGGGAGGGGAGAAGGATGGAGGTAGAGGGTGGAGGAGTAAGCTTACAGTAAATGGCTGTGCTGCTGGGCCGGGACATGTTGGCACTGCTGAGGACAGTTCTCTAGAACTAAACCAAAGAGATAGCCATCAGAGCTGGGAGAGGAGTCCCAGGGCACAGCCGGCAGGAGGGCTGCTATTGCAGCTCGTCCCTGACTGGGCTGACGCTTGGACCAGGCTCTGACCTGGGACCCTGGTACAGATCCAAAGCCCTGGGCTTCAGGAGGCCTTTTGGAGCAGTCTCCTGCCAGTGGCCTCCGCTGTGGAGCCCTCTTCTTGGCTGACATGGAGGCCCTAGGCCGAGGGAAGGAGGGCCTGCAGGGCATGGCTAGGCCTCAGGACAGGCTCCAGGCCTCCTGTTATTTGGTCAGTAAAGCTCCTTTTGATGGGTCCAGGAAAGCTGAATGGACAGGGACCCAAGCCTGAGGCTGGAGCTCCAGATTCTATCCTGGGTGTGGGTGTGAGGGATGCCAGGTTGAATTGTGTCTCCCCAAAATATGTGTCAACTTGGCTAGGTCATGATCCTCATTATTATGTAATTATCCTCCATTTTGTGATCTAATTATCCCATGTATTGTATATCCTAACCTTTATAATGTTATTGAGGCAGGACACAATCTACAGCATTAGGTTGTATCTTTAGTCAATTTCTTTTGAGATACAAGAGAGATTAAACAAGAGCGCAGAAATCGAGGGACCTCATAACCACCAAGAAAGAAGAACTGGGAGCAGAACATGTCCTTTGGACCTGAGGTCCTTGTGCTGAGAACCTGCCAGACCCAGGGGAAGACTGATGCCAAGACACGTGGAGATCTCCAAGGAATGCTGGGCCCACAGATGTTGAAAGGAGACAAGGACTTTCCCAGGAGCCAACAGAGAGAGAAAGCCTGCCCCTAGAGCTGGCACCCTGAATCCGGACTTCTAGCCTCCTAAACTGTGAGAGAATAAATTTCTGTTTGTTAAAGCTACCCACTTGTGATATTTCTGTTATGGCAGCACTAGATGACTAAGACACCAGGTGAGTGGGCTGAACCCAGCTTCTATAGGGAAGGCAGAGGATTCAGCAGCCTTCCCTGCCAAGCAAGCCCTCTTGTCTGAGCCTGCTTCACTTCTGCAAACTGAGAGGAAACTGATGTTGGCTCTTGAGCTGGGGAGGCTCATAGGAAGAGCGAGAGTGTGTGTGTGTGTGAATGCGAATGCATGCATTTGCGTTTGTGATGGGCCTGTGTAGGATTTGTCAGTGACATCCTGACAATACTACCCACTTGCACTTCCCTGAATGTCTCCCAAGTCTCCTGTCTCTGCCTTTTCATACCTGTACCCTCTGCCCAGAGCCCTGGCCCAGCCCATCCTCTAAATTCCAGCTCAAGCATCCCCTCTTCAGTGAAGCGTTCCTTGATCACCCTTCTCCACCCCACCAGCAGAGGGCCCTCTGTAGAGCCACACCATAGCTTGTACATTCCTAATAACAACAGCCACAACGGCCACCTTGGTTAGTTCTATGAGCCTTGTGCCAAGCCCCTTATAGACATTGTTTTATTTAATTTTCACTACAGTCTGCTTGGATTTACTTGGTGCTATGTGCCAAGCAGAGGAGCTCTGGTGGCACAATGGTTAAGTGCTGGGCTGTTAGCCAAAAGGTCAGCAGTTTGAACCCACCCAAGGGAGAAAGATATGACAGTTTGCTTCTGTAAACACTTCAGCCTTGGAAACCCTATGGGGCAGTTCTACTCTGTCCTACAGGGTCCATATGAGTTGGAATCAACTCAACGGCAATGGGTTTGGTTTTGATTTGTATGCCAAGCACTGTTGTAAGTGCTTTACCTTCCTTAACTCATTTAATCCACAAAACAACCTTATGAGGGTGGTACTGTTACTGTCCTCATTTGCCAGATGAGGACTCTGAGGCTTAAAGAGGGGGACAGGCCTGAAGTCGCTACCAAACCCAACCCAACCCGTTGCTGTCGAGTCGATTCTGACTCATAGCGACACTATAGGACAGAGTAGAACTGCCCCATAGGGTTTCCAAGGAGTGGCTAGTGGATTCGAACTGCCGACCTTTTGGTTAGCAGCTGAGCTCTTAACCACTGTGCCACTAGGGCTCCAAACCAAACCAAACCCGTTGCCGTCGAGTCGATTCCGAGTTCGTATTTAATAGAGAATGAACTCAGACCTGTCTGGCTGCAAATGCCATGTTATAATTGTTTGATTACATATGTGCCTCCCCCGCTGGGCTCTGAGCCCTGAGGACAGAGACTTGCCTTGGGCATCACTGTGTCGCCAGTGCTTTCCTGGCACAGAGTGGGTCCAGAGCACATACATGTTAAAACGGACCTGAATTAAATGTGGTGCGTGTACACGAGGGGTGGGGATGGGAGTCAGTCGTGGGTGTGAGTCAAGTGTATCTGTTATTTGAGTGAGGTTCGTATGCATCCTGCGTTGAGTGTCAATTTTGTGGGTGTTCACGCATCTGTGTGGTGCACCTACGTCATACAGAACCCCTGGAATATCCTGGGTAAAGTATTGAAGAGCAGTCCGCACCCTGTTTATTAGGACTGTTGTGGAAATAACAGAGGATCAGATAAGATGACTCTGAGGTGGAAACGAGTTACTGTTAAACAAGTAAGGAAATGGCAGGGAGGTGTCTGGATCTCTTTCCTTGTTTAGGGGACCAGGGCCCCTTTTTCCGTCAAGGATAAGCAGTGCGAGAAGCCTGTTCCCCCACCCCCACTGCCTCACCCCAGGCTATGACACTTCCTGCTTCTAGACTGCAAAGAGAAAACGAGCTCTGTCCTGGTTAGCCTGGCTTCCTCCCACCCACCCAAAACACCCCCCAACACACACATGCACCTACACACACACACACACACACGCGCGCGCGCGCGCGTGTGCGTAGATGGTCTCTGTGGGTCCCTGTGGGCAGGTAAAGGTGGGGAAACGCTGCTGAAGACCCCTGACAACAGGAGGGGGGAGGGGCTGGTTTTGGTCTGCCTTGCTACTGGGTGAGGGTGGGGAGAGCTGTGGCGGCCCAGTTACCCCTACTTATGCCCCAACTGTAGAGGCTTGAAGCCAGGAAGGGCTATCTATATCACGGACACTGAGGAGGAAGCCCAGAGATGCTGCTGGAGGCCTGAACCACCCTTCTCTGCTTCCTAGCCAGACAGCCAGACAGCCAACGCTGAGCCCCAAGCCCTTCCTTGGGGCTGACCCTCTTGGCTTCATGTGGGAACAGGCTGGCGACAGACTAGGGAAGCCACTGAGTTATCTCCACCTGCCCAGGGATCCCCTTCAGCTGGTCTGGGCACTGATCTTCCCTGGGGCCCAGGGCTTTACCTAGGTGCCAGTGAGTCTGGTGGCTGGTCCCCCTGGGGTGGCTGATGTTGGAGCTGGTGGTCCGGTGCTGGTGGTGGGAGGGCAGTGGCTTCTCTGCTAGCACCACAGGCAGAGCCCCAGTAAGTAGGCAGGCCCCGTGGTGATGAGGCTATAGAGACAGCCACACCTGTGCTCTTCGGACCCTGGTGGGTGGGGAGGCACCACCCGCCCAACACCTGAGACTGGATTGTGGCAATACTAGTGCTGACAGGTGCTGGGCTGGTGCCCTGAAGTTGGCCAGAAACCCCTGCTTCCTAGCTTCCCTCTTCTGCTTGCCTCTGGTCCTAGGGTGTGGCCCCTCTCCCCAGTGCCTTTTGGGCACCTCCCCTGGGGCTCCAGGTTAATGTCAGGTGCTAGGGCTGGGACCAGATGGAGAGGAGAGTCTGAGTTCTGTGGTCTCAGGGCAAATCAGGTGGAGGTGGCCCCCAGGCTTGGGGGAAGTTGCGGCCAGAATGTGTACCTGTGTGTATGTGGGTGCTGCACCTGTGGGTGCATGGTTATGTGTCCAGGTGGCATCTGTGAGCAGAACATAGATTTTGTAAGAGCAGATGAGACTGGGGCATGGGACCACCATGGACATTACATGGTGGGCCGAGATTTCTTTCTGGTAGGGCCCACCTCGTTCTATCCCTTATTCTGTTACCTCCCACCCAGCAGGGAGACCTCTCACCCACCATTCTTTGTCTTTCACCCTCTTCCCTCCTCCCTTCTGCCCCCAAGACCCATGGTTGATGCCTGGTTGGGAAACTGAGCCTGCCTCTGTGTCTCTGTCTCCATTCATGAACTGCCCAGCCCCTGTACCTCACTCTATTTAACAACCTTCCTTGGCATCCAGGGTGGGCCAGGCTCCCTGCCCTCTGGGAGCTCACAGTTTAACAAGGGAGGCCAGAAGGAATCAGAAACCAAGGGGGCAAGGCGGGAGGGGAGAGGGGAAATGCCCAGTGTGGAGGTGATCCTTGGAGCAGAGGGTCAGGGCCTGGCAGGTATGATGATCTGTAGTGGAAGGTGTAGTCTAGGGACTGGAACCTGCATCCTACACCCCCAGCCTTGGCTTCCCTGGGACCATCCCAGAAGATTCTGGCCTACTCTCCCACCCCCACCCCAACCAACAACACTGCCCTGATGGCCTGGAGTCCAAAGATTGGATCCTGGCTGGGGGCTTCCCCACATGGGCTGGTGTGGGCCCCTGGGGAGTCCAGGAGGCAGCCAGCCACTGGGGCCCAGGGATCAGCCAGAGCCTCGTGGAAACTGGCCCTCCTAATTTCCCTGGAGCTGAGCCTCTCCTCTCCCCCCTCCTCCCTGGCCTTGGCCCTCCTTCAGCTTCTCTCAGGATGGCCTGTGCTCTAGTCACATCCCCCAGTCCCAGCCCCAGCTTCATCAAGGCTGCAGCCACATCCCACCTCCCTCATCCCTGGCATGGGTGCCCAGCCGAGACCTCATACTTGCTCCCCAGCTCAGGCCAGACCCTGTACTTGCCACAGGCCTCTCCTCAAGTCAGTCTAGCACACCAGAGACTCTCATGGAGGACCTGGGGGCAGGGACAGAGAAAGGGGCTGAACCCACACCAGGGGTCCAGTCTGAGTGAGATCTTGGGGCAGAGAAACGATGTGCTCTACCTGGCTCCTCAGCACTGTGCACTTGGTGCCCCTGGGAACAGTTTGGGTCTCT